GTGTACACAGCTTCAAGAGAAACTATTCTTTTATCATATGCTTGGATATAAAATATATGAAAATACTTTTATGCTTTTGGGGGAATGCACACAATTTAAACATCAAATATCATCACTTAATTTATCTGATCATCACCAGCATCTTATCCAACACTATCTGTAAGAAATATTGCAGAAATATATAGAAATATTATTAAGAGATATTTGAGTTTGTTAGCTGAAAGAACTTGGTCAAGAAAATATTCACCTATTACTTAAACTAACATTTTAAGTTTAACTTAACTTAAAGAAGCCAAAAACTGATTATCTGATCGTCACATTACTGTCGTGGTGGTTTTGGTTTCTGTTTGGATTCACAAACCCTCCAGCATGAAATTGTAGTTTTTAATTAATGTCTTCTAGACTTTGCGATTCCTGTTTTGTTTCATTATCATTCTAATAATTTTAAGCTTTAGTTCTCGTTGTGTTATTTGTGTTTCTGTGGCGTTTTGATTACCAGCTTCTGGTTTGTGTCTTCAGTCTTCCCTATCTGTTCCTCTCTCGTTGTCTTATCTTTCTGTGTCTTCGTCCTCCAGCGTTCTCTTGTCTCTGTTTTCATGTTTTATGTGAATCTTCTCATTTCCGTGTATAGTGTGTGACTCTTGGATCCCAGTTTAACTTTAAAGGTTAGTTATCGTCTGTTTCCTGTGTTGGTTTTACTTCCTTGCTCTGCCTGATTTTTCTGTGTTGAGCTGTGCCTCCGGTCTCCAGTCGCCGAATCAGCCCTCTGCTTTTACACAGTCCTTTCTTCTGCTCGTCAGCATATCTGCTGTTGTTGGTTTGGGGATTTTTGATGGTTTCAAATTTTGGACTTTGTTGCTTTGTGTTCAGTCTGAATTAAAGGCTCACCTTTTGTTCTATGTCTGACTTGAGTTCTCTAAACTATGACATTTAGGAACGTTTCCCTTTATTTTATTTTATGATAACGGTATTTCAAGGGAGTGCATGTTATTTTTATGCTTTTGATGTTGCGTCGCTCATGTTGGCTGTAAGATTTTGCTTCATTAACGGTTGCCCAAATCATGGGTAAATATTACGTGTAGTACCTCCTTTACAAAGCTCTATTAAGATTCTGCTTGTGGGTTTACCGTTAAACATAGCATTTATGTATGAAAGTGTAACACTGTGTTATGTGCTGTGAGGTCTTAAGGATGTCACAGCACTTCACTCTCAGAGTGCGAGCTTCGTTTTGGTTTCTAGAGTTTCCAGAAGTAAAACAGAGATCAGGCTCTTCTCCTGTGGGACCAGCTCCCAGTTTGGGTTCAGGAGACAGACATCTCTGCTTTAAGATCTTTTTGATAAAGCTTATAGTCGGGGCTGGATCGGGTGATACTGAACCCTCCCTTCTCCTGCTATAGGCTCAGGCTGCTGAGGGACTTATCATGATTCACTGAGCTTTTCTCCATCTCTACTCATGTTACATCCACTACTGCATGTCACTGACTTTTGTCTTCTCACTCCTGAGTTTTGTATTCCGTCCTGATTGTTGGGATTGTCTCATTTTGTGATTCTACTGTTATATTTGTGTGTCTAACAGGAACTGGTGTGCGTTTGTGGTCACAAAGACGGTGAGTTGTGTGGTTGAGGATGGAGTTGAAACCTACGTGAAGCCTGATTATCATCCCTGCAGCTGGGGGAGTGGACAGTGCAGCCGGGTGGTGGTGTGAGTACACACCCTCACACACACTCATACACACACACACATAGTGTGTGAATCAGAGTCATCAGTTTGTGCTCGTCCTGGTTCTCTGCAGTTATCGGACCTACATGAGGCCGCGCTACAAAGTCGCCTACAAAATGGTGACAGAGATGGACTGGAAGTGTTGCCATGGTTACAGTGGAGCAGACTGCAACATTGGTCCAGTTGGTGGAGGAGGGACTCAGATATCCACCACCAGACCTCAGCCCGGACAGGGAGGGGGGACGACCAGTGGACAAGGTGGAGGAGGGCATAGTTATGGGGGAGGCAGTTCTGGATCTGGACAGTCTGGAGGAAACGCGGGTGAGTGGATTTTCATTTTGTTCTTTTATTCACATGAAGTTCGGCAGTTTAAAGAAAAGCTGTGGCTGGAGTGCATGAAGACAAAGACGCACATCCTCAGTCCATCTGCTGCACCATGAGATGGGACTGAATGTAGACACTTTAAAAACCAGCGGAGATTCCTTTTATGAGAATTCCCAGTGAGATTCTCCCTGTTCTTAGGATCTAACACGGCTTAACATTCGACACCAGACCCAGATGGACTCAATAAAAACCAGAGCTGAAGCAGGAACTCAATCGTGCACTGAATCGTTCTTTATTTTCTCTCTTTGCTGTCATCTCAGTAATCATCAGCAAGCTGCAGCAAACAGTAGCATCCGATATTAGTCGATCAAAACTAATCTGCAGCCTTTGCTCACTTCTTCTGGTGAGAGCCAGTTCACTTCGTAAATCAATCACTATTCGACCAAACGGCTAAAAGCTGCTCGCAAAAAGGAGAAAATGGAACTCGGTTCTCAGTAACAAAGTGCTGACCACATGTCTCCTTTGTTTTTCAAACAGGGGCACTAGCTTTGCCAGTGAAACACCATCATCTAATTAGTCAGTAAAAGACTTATGATATGATATCTTCATGCAGAAGCATCTTTTTCCAAGAGATGTGAGAAGTGTGAAAGCAACCAAAGCTTGCATTTGTGTAAAAGAAGCAGCTGGTTGTGTGTGACAGTGGTGACTGCTGTCAGGAAGCTACTGCTGGAAATTCTCAGCAGCTGTTTGTTTAATGTGTGAAATAAAAACTTTGACTGAAAGTGTCTCTTGGTGCCGTGACAGGATTCTGTCTATTCTAAAGAATGATAAAAATGGAAATAAAAGAGAAACTCTTTTATTTTATTAAGAGTTTCTGTAACCGCTTCATTTCTTTCCTTAACGAGCAGACAACGAGAAGATGAGACAGCTGGAGGAGAAGATCCGCAGTCTTACAAAAAATCTCCAGGACCTTCAGTCCACCATGAGCACCATGAATGAGCGCTTACAGGAGGAGGGCGGCAGGAATGGACTTGGTGGAGGAAGCTCAGGAGGGAGAAACCCTGCGGATGCCGCTCAGCCCGAGATTAAAGAGACGATTCACAGCATTCAGACCAAACTGGACCAGCTGGACAACCGCACACAGGTGAGCTGGTTTTCAGCTTTACTGGGAGGTTATGTGGACTGAGTAAAGAAGCTAAAACAGGAAAAGATGTGTTATGCTGTTTGTGTTTGTGCTGGTGTTTTAATCAGAAACTGTTTCACCTTCAACAGGCTCACGATAAAACCCTGGTCAGCATCAACAACCATCTGGTGAACGGGAAAGGTAATGAGTTGGGGGGAGGTGTGTCTGGAGGATCGTTAAGTGAAGGACGGCTGAACTCAATGAAGGAGGAGATCCTGAGCGAGTTGGAGAGGAGAGTGTCGCTGTCCTGCTCCTCCTGCCAGGTATCAGACAACTTTAATAAGCCGATATTCCAAAATCTTTCTAGCCGGTGTTTTTCAGTAAGATTAAATTTACTGCTGGATGTTTTCAGGCGGGTGTGGAGGATCTGCGCAAACAGCAGCAGCAGGACCGTGAGAGGATTCGAGCTCTGGAGAAGCAGATGAACGCCATGGACGTCCAGTATCGGCAGAGCCTGGACGGGCTGCGGCGGGACGTAGTGCGTTCACAGGGATGTTGCGACATCATCAGTGACCTCCAAGATCGCGTAACTGATGCTGAACGCAAGATCAGCACGGCCTCTGAGAACTTTGATATTCTGCAGAACCGCCTGGACAGGGAGCTCAGCGGACAAGGTGGCACCAGTAGCAGCGAAAACACTGGGTCCAGAGGACAAGGGTTACCTGTTGGTGGTGAAACTGGCGGGCATGGTAGGGATGCCATGATAACAGAGGAACACCTGAACAACCGATTGAAGGATCTGGAGCGACGGGTCAACAGCACTATGCAGAAAACCGAAGAGAGCTGCTCATACTTGGAGAACGACGTGAAAGACTACTTCCACAGAGAACTGGACGAGCTGAGGTCCGTGTTTCTGGAGCGGTTTGATGACCAGGCCGACAGGATCACAGACGTGGAGCTGGACGTGGAACAGGTCAAGGACAGCATAAGTGATCATGACAAGCGGCTGTCGAAACTAGAAAACACCACCTCTCAAATGAACTGGAGGCTGGAGAAGTGTGGCTGTGTAGCGTCTGAACAAGGAGGAGGAGGAGAAGGAAGAGGGAGAGGTGACGGGGGATATGGAGGTGGAAGTTGGGGAGCAGAAGGGGGTGGATCAACAGGAGAAGGAAAAGAGGGGGGTAACAGAGGGGATGGAGGTGGGACGTGGGGAGCCGGAGGAGGAGGAAGTACAGGGGGAGGAGGACGCTGGGGAGGTACCGGGGGAGGATTACCGGGAACGGGAGGAGAAAGAGACAATTCAACCAAGAAGTCTCTGGAGTGGAGAGTGGTGGCTAACGAGGATCAGATTCGACATTTCAACACTCAACTCAAAGACCTGTCGATGTCCGGAGACTCTCTGTATGACAAGGTGAGTCACGCATCTGGCTCAGCACAACAAATAATTACAGGACAGATTAAGAATTCCTTACATGTTCAAATAAATGTCCTCTGTATAAACACCTTAACATTATAGCGCATCGACTAGATTGGACTCCTGAGCCAAAGAAAATCATTTTTCACAATAACTCAAAGACTCTTGATGTGCAACTGAAAGTCTTATTATTCAAAATAATGTTATTTTAAAAGCTCCAAAAGGCACCAACAGCTCGAACAGGATTGAGAGGGTGGGTTTAGTGACCTCAATTAGCTGACATGAAGTTTAGCAGACAGCTAGCTTTCACGGTCACCTCTGTTAGCATTTCTGTGCTAGTTGAAGTGGTCCCACCCAAAATGCTGTATAACTTTAAACTTTAAAGGGGTTATTCATTAAAAAAAGACCCCACAGAGATGTTACGAAGAAGTAAGCTAGCTGTATAGACTGACACTATCCGGTCGTTAAGTGATGACGTGACGAATCCTACTTCCGGGTCTAAAGTAGTCTGCGTTTAATATGGCTTTTGTGTTGTTAACATGTTTAATGTTTTGTATTTTCTTCTATTTAATCTCAAAAAGCTCCTAAAACAGTCAGTGATCACTGTTGACCTCCCTCGGGTTTTATTACCGCTAATCATTTATTTAAGCTCAGTTTTTAAAACCTTAGGATGTAACTACAGCCCAGCCCATGCAGCAGTATAGGAATGACTAACCTCGTATTGTGGATGGATTATCTCAGTTGTTCTCCTGGCTGAAGTTTGGTCCTTTTACAGCATCCTGCCATGCGATTACATTTGTTCCTGACCACCGAGAACACTCACGTTAACTTTTATCGAGTGGAAAAAAAGTTAGCTTGTTTATATTATGCTAACATAGCTGTGTCGCTAGCGGTCACGTAGCACATCATTAAATACCAGCTAGCCCAACTTCAGTAACCCTACAAACGTCACTGCTGTTTAGTTTTCTGTCTTCATTTATGTTGGAAGTGATAACAGAGCTGTACGTTTTAATTTGTTTCCAAAACCCCGCAGTCAGGACATGCTATATTGTATTTAGATAGAAGCTAGCGAGCTAACTCCCTGCTAACTTCTAAATGTCATAAATTCCGTTTTCATGGATGCCTGGATGTTAAACTCAATTGTTACACCTGGTAGAGCAGAACGCTGATCATTTCATTAAAGATAAAAGACTTTAGACAGTTTTTCAACTCTCAGTAATGACATAGTGATCGTTTGATATATGGACCTGCAGCGGAGTTTAGGCCCAGACACGGCTAGTGACGTCAGACTTAACGACCGGATTTATTAAACTGGGCTGTAGACATGTTTTTCTGCTGTAGAGTTGGGAATTTTAACATTGCCTCCAGTGGCCATTCTGAGGAACTGCAGTTTGTTTTTTGGCAGATTTTATTTTGTGGGTTTTTTTTATTCCTAAAAGTTGCTGCTTGGTTGGATGTTTTTTATCTTCACCTTTATCTTATTTCGCAAAGTTTGTAATATTAATCAACACACTTAAATTAAAACTGTGATGTGTGGATTATAAACTGACTTTTGTGTCAAAGAAGCTCAGATTTTGTGACTATGCAGTCATCTCATTTGTTAATATTTAAATCAATAACCAGGTTTTGGACCTGACCGATGACGTCGGTAAAATCAAAGCCCTGACCGGTGATCACGGAGAACACTTTAACCGAATCGTGACAGTGGTGGAGATGCTGGGCGAGGACTGCGAGCTGTGCGGGAAGGTGGAGGAAGAGCTGCAGAAGATGAAGAATTATTCCCAGAATGCGCTATCCAATATTCAGAACCACATCAACAGAATCCAGAACAGACTGGATTCAGAGGGAGACAGCTGCTTCCAGATGTGCTCAGTCCTGCAGAGTGAAGTCAGTGTTCTGAGGGATGATGTCAGGAGGTGCACCAACCAATGCAAGAGCAACCCGGACATGACCACAGGTCAGATCTGTTTTTTGTTTTTTTTAACTTAACCTCATCTCCTGGTAGAACTGGTAGGGATGTAATACTGGGGCAGGAAAGGGTCAGAGTTCAGAGTCTGGACCGCTGTAGGGACAAAATTGCCTCTCTTTCTCTGTGTCCTAAATCCTGGACACAGATGGGAGCCACTCGAACACAGAATGTAAAATATGTGAGGGATCTTGAAGAATCCTGTGGGCAGTTTTAATTGTCTGTTTTTCACACAGGGCAGACAGAGCTCTAACAGGATGTCCATGAACAGCTTGTCTATTATGTCTGCTCAAAGTTTCTTCTGATGTAATACTCAGGGATTTGCTGGGTGGAATGGGGCATTTTCCTCACTACATTTCTGTCCCTGTGTTAAATTATTTCTATCCCTGGTGGAGATATAAAAATATAAACATTTATCCCCCGCTGTGATTTTTAGCACTGCATCTTGAAACTGTCTACAGCACAGTCATATCCAAAATTGAATTCCACCCCGTATTCATAATCCTGTGACCGCAGAGATGAGTCTGCAGAAGGAATATTCTGGAGTCTTTTCAGTATGTGGCCAAGCACTGCTGTTTCAGTGTGAAAACTACAGCTAAGTAAATAAAAGATGAATTAAGAGGATTCAGCTATGTCGAATCATCTGCATTTGAATAATCTACAAAGATGAAATGCGTCTTCTTATTTCAACGTGTTGAACTGCAGTTATGCACCAGGGTGTCCTGCATTAGAGGCCTCTTTTATTTGCGTCTGAAGACATGTTATTTGCATGTTTCGCTCTGATGGTGGAGCTGCTGTGATGAGCTGATAGTGAGCTCCTGAGTGCTACCTGACCAAAATACAGTCATTTCTGATACTGATTTTTTCAAGCATCAACATATTTTAAGGGGAAAAAAAATCCTGTAAAGCAAAGTTTAATTAAATAGATATTTTTGTTTTTACCACTTGAACACATAATTCATAGGCAAATTCAATCCCCAATAGGTGTTGATCATGCTAGACCTGGTGGCACAGATGACAACAGTGGACCGCTGGATCCTGCGAAGCCTTTAGATGGCCATAGCGTGAATGAAGGTATCAACAATAACCACCTGAAAACGCTGCAGGGCGAACTGTCCAATGTCATCCTCACCTTCAGCTCCATCAACGACACCCTGAAGGGTCTGGAGCACACGGTGCAGAAACACGACAGCGTCATCACGGACCTCGGTGAGCCGAGCTCGGGAACAAACATAGCTTTGCATTAAATGCCTCCAGCTAGTGTTCACTCTGTCACCCTCTAAATCCTGACAGGAAATACTAAGGATAAGATCATCTCTGAGATAGACAAAGTCCAGCAGGAGCTGACAGAGCACATCGAAGACAACCGGAATCGTCTGGATAAGATGGACAGGGACATTCGGCGATTTGAGAGTACAGTGCTTGAGATGGGAGACTGTAAGAGGTCTGGAGACGGGCTTGAGAAGAGGCTGTCGAAGCTGGAGGGAGTTTGCGGACGACTGGATGGGGTCTCTGACTCCATCCTCAAAATCAAGGAAGGTATGGTTCATTTTGATGGTCGTGTCTATAATAATGGATTGCATTTATATAGCGCTTTTCGAGGCCCTCAAAGCACTTTACACTTCCACCATTCATTCAAGCTACAGTTGTAGCCACAGCTTCCCTGGGGCAGACTGACGCCATCTCTGGCCATCACCAGTAGGCGGCAGGTGAAGTGTCTTGCCCAAGGACACAACGACCAAGACTGTCCGACCCGGGGCTCGAACCGGCAACCTTCCGATTACAAGACAAACTGCTAACTCTTGAGCCACGAGCGCCCTAATGTTTACTACTATGTTTACTCTTCCTTTAAAAAGCCTATCATGTGTTTTCATCTTGTATTTGAGCTGGTAACAAACACAACATGTGTGCCGGTGTCTCCGTGCCTCACTGAGGTTCAGATGATTCAACATGGAGAACATATTGAAATCGGGTATAAAAAGAAATCAATCAAGGAAAAATAAAAACAGTTTCATCGTTCATGAGAAATTGTTTTTCCATGTAGACTTGCATTGTGAATAAGCAGGACAATAATTCAGGAAGAGGAGATTATGTTGGGTTTTTTCTAACCCGTGTATCTGAATAGAAAGGATGTTTACTCCATCTTTCCCTGGTATAGATACTACTCTGAGTTGCAGCTAGAATGTTTACCTGTCTGCTAGTTATCACTTCCGCTAATTAAAGTAACTACTTTTTGCTAAACATAATAAACCAGATGGATATAACAGTAGTTCATCTTTGTGTACACTCTATGTACTTACATGTTGCAGGATATATTTACAACACCGGGCTGGCACCGTGTCCTTACTGGGACACTACAGTGCCCAATATGTGCAAATAAAAACTCCAATCGTGCTGCGGACCGACAGCTGATGCAGCTGTGCTCCAGCTGTGTTGCTGTGGTCAGAAAGTGAGTTCTTCAGCTGGAATTCGGAGAAAGTGAGCTTCTCATTTCTCTGGAAACATCTTTCACTGTGTTTTTTCTGTCCTGACGTCCTCAACTGGATGAGATGACGTGAGGAAAAAATTGAGGGTACTGCCGCGTACCAAGTGTGTCATGTTACACGAGAAAGACGAACATATGTTCCTCGTGCTGATTTTGGTGTTTTGATGTTTTCCGTGTTTAGGACTGAACAAACACGTTTCGAGTTTGTGGACGTGTGTTTCTGGTCTGAATGACACCGTTATCCGTCATGGAGGTCTGCTGGACTTTATCCAGAACGGCCAGGACGACATCCACAGCAGAGTGAAGAACCTGAACTCGAGCTTGAACCAGGTCTCCCGAGACCTGCAGGGTTTGTCAGAGCATGACCTGACGGGTGAGCTGCTCCTTCCTCTGATTCTGTTTGGGGGGTTTTCAGCTACAGTGTGATTTCTCAGCACAGCTCCGCTCTGATCTGAATAACATGAAAAGAGGGTTGCAGGGTTTTTATTGGCTTGATGTACTGACTTTGTCTTGGGGACCACCAATCATTACAACAGTGCTCTCAGACAGACTTAGATCTCTTAGATTAGATATTTATTAACATCCTGATGTGCTGAAATCCTCACAAGGATATCTGATATAGATAGACTGATGAAAGGTGAAGCTTCTCCGTGTTTACTACAGTTTACCACATGTGAAAGTAAATGTACAGGATGAGCTGCTCAGTTATGTTATTAATATAAAGCGCAAAGATATTTGTCAGAGACGTTTGATGAAGTTCCTGAAGTACAGTAAACGTTTTCAGTAACTTTCTGCCCTCTGCAGGACGAATCAAGCAGTACTCAGAATAAACTGGAGGGTTTCACAATAATGATTCAGAAAAAAAACACAACGCACGTAAGCCAAAACTGTGAGAAAGTACGTTCATGGTGTTTTGTTTTCTAGGCCCGGCACTGCTCAGCAGAGGTTTGAATGCTCTTTTGATTTACTCACTAACTGCAAAGCTAAAAGGGAGTTTGTGATGTCATCAGATCCAGAGGAAACTCCAGAGTTTGTCAGATGTACATGTTGTTTGTTGTTCTCTGTTTCCACTTGGAATATGTGCCTGGATTGTGAAAACTAATAATAATAGTAATAATAATAATAATAGTATCCACAGCTCCACGTATGAAAAAATAAAAACTTAAATGTGGCATCTTTTCCTTCAAAGGTCACCTCTTTCTGCACCTCTGGACCGCTTCCTGCTCAGCTTCTATTTTTAAATTTTCCTCCTGAAGGCTCATTTTGACCTCATTCCTAGTGCAATTTCACATTGAACGTATTTAGAGAGCACACTTGTGATCTTTATATTAACAAGAAGATCCGCCAGGACTGTGCTCTTGTTTTGTTGGCTTCTTTCTTCACATTCGTGGACTTGTGCAGCATGAATTTATCCCCCAGAGTGAAACCTCCAAAGCAGAGTTCATCTGTAATGTTGTGAATTGACTTTGTGTAGCGCGCAAGAAGGCAGAAGGTAAAGTGACTTTTGCCCACCACCTACCCTATTTGCCTATGACTTCATCCTCTTTTCCCCAAATAAAATTCAGGTTGAAGGGTTGCTGTGAAATCTAAAAATAGCAGTCATGTTGGAGGCGGTGCACGGCTGCTCAAGGAGAGGACCTTGAAGGAAAGATTGCTAGGTTGGAAGAGGCTGCGAGGTTTTTATTTTTACTTTTATAGACAGAGCAGTAGAACTTTATTATTGCACTTTGCAACTCGTAACATTTATTTTATTTCACTGTGGATCTGTTTGATGATGCATCAGCAGCCAACAAACAACAGCTTGAACTAAACCTGCAGATTTTGTCTTCAGTGTGTCGTCTGTTGTTCCGTGTCATTAAATATTAATGCCAAGTGAGCTGTAAAAGACTGTTTTGAAACTAAACCCTTCAGCTTCCCTTTCTCCAGTGAACTTAATGAACAGTAACGAATGATTGCGCTTGAATTACTGGGTGAATATAACGAAGCTTTCTAACATTTTAAAGTCTGTTGGCTTCATATCCAGTCAAGTCCAGGAGAAGTCTAAAATTTCAGGATGACTAAAATGTTACAATAAAGCTGAAGGTTTGTGTCATTGCACAGGCCCACCAGGCCCACCAGGACCTCAAGGACACCCAGGAGAACGAGGCTTCAATGGGCTGCCTGGCCTCCCAGGGCCCCCTGGATTTCCAGGACCACAAGGAGAAATTGGCCCACCCGGTGAGATGGATATTTTACATTTATAGAGTGTGTGATATACAGGAAGACTAAAAGTCGTGAGTAAAGCTATTACTAAGCCAGCTAACATACCTAAAATCATATTTTTTTCACTACTTCCTGTTTGTTTTTTCACATTAAAAGTACATGCTAAAAGCTCACTACACTCAAAAACAATGATTTTCACCCTTAGTAAACAGTAAGCAATAATTTTGAGCAAAAAGCAACTGAAATATATAAAATAATAAATCAAATGTTTATTTATACAAACAAATTATCATGAGGAAAAATGGGTTTGGTATAAACTGAATGGGCACCAATCAAGTAAATTTAAATTTACCATCAAGTACTTTGTACAAGATAATTTGCTTGTAATAAAATTAGTTAAAGTCAGCATTTTGGACGTAACATTTGTTTTACTGTAACCTGAAAATTCTTGAGGAAGTCAGAGGCATCATTGGAGGCTGATGAATGTTCATCTTCAGCAAAGCAAACAGCCGACATGTTTCTTTTTGTTTCCTTTCTCACTTCTATTTGAAGTTAAACACACTGTTAACTGGTTGCTTTGGGTTTTATTGTTGCACCTTTTTATTATTCCACTAAACATGTCCTCTGGTTTCTTGCAGGTCCCAAAGGGGAAACAGGTACGTCTTTAATTAAGAGAAAAACCGGCTGAAGTAGAAGAACAGTTGTGTGCAGTGTTTTCACTGTGATCTGGCTTTTGTTTGTTTCTCTCTGCAGAGCGGTGTGTGTGTCTCACTGTGTCTTTGTATCTTCTCAGGCCTTCCTGGCGCTGATGCTCAAATCCCCAAATTGTCGTTCTCTGCTGCTTTAACTGCCCCCATGGACAGAGCAGGAACCATCGTCTTTGACAAGGTCTTTGTCAACGAAGGAAATTTCTACAACCCGAGAACAGGTGAGCACGAACAGAGGCTTGCATCTGCAGGTTGTCCACTAGTCACAGGGTTAAGAGTTCGGACTCTAATCTTCTCCTGGCATTGTGTTGATGTCGATAATTAACCTATAAATTACTTTGATGTTATTTTATGTCCATATTTACTTCCTGTTTGTAATAACTGAAGTAAAGTGATATATTTAAAGGTCAAAAATTAGGATGTTGTTTGATGATCACTGAACTCCAGTTCAGAAACAGTTTCCTAGTTTTGATCAGAACTGAAGCCATCTGCAGCTTAACGAATGTAAAAAAACAACCTGTTACATATTAAACTAATGCATACATTTCCTGGTTGATCTCTGCTTTAATATAGTGTGAACCGGTTCCCTGCAGGTATCTTCACTGCACCTGTAGATGGAAATTACTACTTCAGCGCCGTCCTGACAGGTCACAGGAACGAAAAGATCGAGGCAGTCCTGTCAAAGTCGAACTACGGCATGGCCCGCGTGGACTCTGGAGGCTATCAGCCTGAGGGCCTGGAGAACAACCCCGTGGCCGAGGCTAAAGTTAACCCGGGCTCTCTGGCCGTCTTCAGCATCATTCTGCCTCTGCAGACTCAGGACACGGTGTGCATCGACCTGGTGATGGGCAAACTGGCTCACTCTGTGGAGCCGCTCACCATCTTCAACGGCATGCTGCTGTATGAAGACAAGTGAGCATTTATATCGATTTATGGTGAAGGCCTGAGGACCTGAACAGCGCTGTTTAAGATTCATGACAAACCCACAGGAGACGGGTCCATAAAGTATGATGTCACTTCCTAATTTGGGAGTGATCGAGAACTGATGACAGAGTGTTTTTCGATGAAGCTTCCTGGTTGATTTCAGCATCAGTATAACGTGTTTTTAACAGATCACACAGACTTCACAGAAAACTTTTTCTTCAGAGGAGGCTTTGCGTCACCTCTCATGTGGATGCCAGAGTGGATTTACTATAAACCCAGTCAGCTGATCTGATGTAGTCACATGGTCTGACCTCAGAGCAGCACTGTGAGAACTGACGTCCCTGTAAACCAGGATAAGCTGATGCCTGCCAGACCTGCTTCCTCCTACTAGAAAGCCTCTGGAAACACACCGACGCATGTGGTGAAGAGTTCCAGATTTAACTGTGTAACGTGCTGTTAGTGCCCTCTATAGGCCGCAGAGCTCATTACAGCAATAATGTGAACAAGCATTCTGATGATTTATAGATGATTGGCTGCCACATAAAGTTTTTACTGAGGGCGGTGCTACAGAAAGTTTGTGAAGTCACAAAAATGCTATTAAAGATATCAGTTAACGATCATTAGAGCGGTAGATGTTGAGATAAAGTGGATGTTTATCAAATGTAAGCCCCCTTCTGGGCAAATGAGCATGACTTTAAATGTTAATGCACTGTTACTCGTACCCACCACTCAGTCCACTCCCCCTGTGAAGCGCTTCCTGCCACAACCGCTCCGTCTTGTCCAGATGTTGCTCTGCAGGCATTAGATGCTGACAGATGTAATCAGGTGGTGGGTCAGGTTTTCCACGAGGATGATGTTTAGTGCTGAATAGTGATTTATGAGCCTTCACTCCTGCCCCCTGATGGGGGTTTCCGTCGTCTTTTCTGTTGAGCAGATGTGCTGTTGATTCTTTTTCTTGATCTTCATCATTTTTAAGTGGAAATTGAAAAATGTCATCCCCCAGAAAATGAAAGGATACGTGCTGTTACCTTAAGAGGGGCGAAAACAGAAAGTGGAAAATAGAAATTTTTCTAGCACGCTCTTTGAAATATATTTTTCATTGCTGCAACCAGGTAGATTTAGTGCTTAAAAGGAACAAAACAAAGACTGAAAATAAGCCTCTTAACATGCAAAATTCTTAATTACAGAGAAACAAACTGCTCAGACTTTTCCGTACAGCTGTGCCTGTGACTGGTGAATCTTTGGATATCTGTTATTACTGATGGTGGGATATATCCCATCGCCACCCCAATGCCCTACCCTCACAGGTCAGTGGTCGTCATGGCAACATGAGACGTTGTGACTTTACATACGATGAAAGAAAACCAAAGAAAGCTTTTTTGCTCTGATGCTTTCTAACAGCAGAATGTTTATCTATTTTCAATCTGTGTGGATTTTCTTTTTAAACTGAGATGAGTTCACATTGTGAATGTTTTTATATTAAACAGCACTTTTTCTTGTTTTTATTGTAATTTTTATGTTCTAACAAATATTTATCACAGAATTTCACATTTATGGACAAACGTTAAAGGATGGAAATACTCCGTATTTTCTTACTGTCAAGAAATACCATAAAAGCACAGTGGTGGAAGAAATATTTTGATCCTTTACTAAGTAATAATACCACATTGTACTGTACTTAAGTAAAGAGAGTAACACCACTTGTAAAAATAAAGAATTACTATTAACGAGTCCTGCAGTCTAAATGTTATTTCAGTAAACAGCATTAACTGTCAGCAGACAGATATTGTTTGCTTTAAAACCCAGAAACCAAGCAAACTCTTACAGATGCACGATCTGTTTTTTCTTCGACACACAGAAGGAAATAAATTCATTCGCCATTTTATTACGAGTATAATCCACATTTGGTTCTGTACTTTGTATTTGTGGCAGTGAAAGAACCAGACATTTATTACAGATCATTGTTTACATTAGGATAACATATTTTTTGGTCTCTTGCTCTTATCGTTTGCTTATGCAGACATGGCTGATATATAGAAGAATGCTATGAGGAGTGTATGTATAATAAGCTTGTTTATGTTACCTTCGGTTGAACAGTTGTTTAGTGAGCAATGCTTAATTTCTGATAAAGCTTTTAAGATGACTAAAACATAAATGGGCAGATGCACTGGTAAAACATGCCCATCCAGGAAGACTGTACGGCAGGGGTCTCAAACTCGCAGCCCGGGGGCCACTTGTAGCCCATGTCACCCCTACTTGTATTTTGACCTGAAGAAATTTAATTTGGCCGTCGAAGTTACTTTTTTTGTGAGGGAGAATTTGTTTGTTGTTGAGTGCAATGTTAAAATAAGTTCTTTAAAAAGATAAAAATGATGTAATATGATGGCAACATGATCAGAGAGCACAAACATGTCGAGGGACTGGCTGTGTTAGTTCAGTGAGAGTCAAAAACTAATGTGTACGCTTATGTCTGCATTTTAATTTTGTCAGGTCAGACAATATTTGAAATTTAAACAAAACACTACATTTTCAGAAATATTTGTGGGTGTTTTCTCATTTGTTTGTTTGTTTTTTTGTACTACTTGAAGACAAAAGTGGCCGTGGCCTGCTGCTCGCTTAAGTTTGAGACCCCTCCTGTAGAGAAAGTCCTCCTCAAAACAGTAGCTGTTAGCGGAGGTAACCCCAGCTCTGTGAGTATGTGCATAGCCCTGAATCTGTTCACCCTTGGTTGTGTAGGGTGACATACTGTAAGTCTCTCAGGCCCGGTTCCTGAGAAGGACATCTATGTGTCACTGGATCCAGTAAACCACTGGTGAGGAAGGAACATGGCAGTCAGGTCAACAGTGGGGCTGAGTCATGAGTTGTAATCATATAAAGTATAAAAGATGAGTGTATTGTCCGGCTCCTAACTGTAAAGGCCACATGTGTCTTAAACCTGTGTTTGTTTTAAAGGCCATCAGAGGCTGATACCTGGGGTTGTACAAAGACTTCCAGTATCAGTCTATGAGAGAACAGCTCCTGGCTAAACACCTTCCTGATGGTTTCATTGTTTCAGATCATCCTGAATAAAACATGAAGTTCATTGTGTAAGTTTTGGTTATTCTCAGAGTTATAAACGCTGTGAAAGAAAGACAGAGATGTACAATTGTCATGATCCCCGCATCCCGCCAGCTGACGGTCAATTAGCAACTGAAATGTTTTTCCAACCAGAGGAGTCGCCCCCTGCTGCACATTATAAAGAATGCAGGTTTTGTAGCAGCTTCACTTTTCACCTGGAGAGACTGGAGGATGTTATTTATATACAGTCTGTGTGGACAGCACGCACTGTTACATGTTTCACCTGTCCTTGAATCTTTGACCTCTCAGCAGATCAATAACACTTTGTTGAACAGCTTCATCTGAGCGTCATTGGTCACTGAATATGATGTGATTCACAGCGGTAACCTGTTCATCTCCACAGCCCACAGAGGAACTGACAGCAGATATTTATATCACCATACGCTGGTTCCCACCTTCTTCACAGCAGTCTTTTTTCCCTCAGTGGGTTTAGAAATGTCCTTCTCTGGTGGGTATTTGTCACACTCGTCTACTGATGAATAATTTCTTCTGTCATTAAAAAAACTATTAAATCCACAGTCTATATTTCTGAAAACCCAGCAGGTTTGGCTTCTGCACAGTCATTAGAAGAAATGCAGCATTGAATCCAAGTCTAACACATGAATACCAGATACACAGATCAGCATCTTTACAGTGTCTGTTTTTAATTCTCACAGTTTGGTAATTCAGTGGCATGCTGCGCAGACCGTGAGGCTGAAATGTCTCACTCTGTGGTTGGAATAAAGATTAGTTCAGGTCCTCCAATAGTGTAAAGAAACATAATGAAGTGACCAGTGTAGTAAGATATTAAAACAGCAGTAATATATGTTAAAATATACAAAAACATGATTTACTGTAAATTCCTCTGTTTTAAAATAGTGACAAACCTTACGAGTTAAACCTATCACAGGAATTTACAGAATAACCTTCATATCCAAAGTTGTCGTTAGATATGTCGTATTAGGTTAGATTAGATTAGATGTGTGGGTCATCACATGAGCTTAGGTGTGAGTAAAGACGTGGGTCATTACTATCACTTGGATTAAAGGTGAAACTTCTAGGCCTGGCCTCGCCCCAATATGTGACCTGTTGAGTTCACCTGAGCGGGGTTGAAGTTCCTGGGAACAGATTTCCGGACTGGCTGATAGCTGCTGTCTTAAGTCACCCACTCTGTTCAACGGTGATCGTTCACAATAGATATAGATGGCCTCCTTTACTCGTCTTTCAAACCATCTGTCTTCTCGGTCCAAAATGTAAACACTAGCATCCTTAAAGGAGTGACCTTTGACCTTCTGATGCAGATGTACAGCTGAGTCCTGTTGAGGTGGTTCTTCTATTTTGTGCCTTTTGTTTTTCCTGCGTAGAGACCCGAGGACTCTTTGCTGTGGAGCTGTTTAGTTTCTGTCTGAGGGCGTCGCTGGGTCGGAGTCCTCCGGGATTCAACAAAATTCAACTTTTCTGAAAAACTTTTTTTGACAGTGTTGTTCTGTTTGTCATTCGGTTTCTCCCAGGTTGGTGTCTGACCTTGTTTCCTGAGAATCCTCACTGATTTGATGAAGGCCCAGTTGGGAATTTACTTAAAACACATTCAAAACCTGTTCCTTCCTCTGTAAACGGAGTGTCAGCTTCAGTGTTGACCAGAACCTAAAGAAGTCCAGCTGCCCTCTTTCTTTAACATCTCAAGGCTGCCATGACCGGGATTACTGAGATCCTACACAGACAGTGCATTGCAGAAGTAAAAACTGTTTAATTAGCATACAATTACCATTTTTTTTATATGAAGGTTTCTAGTTTACAACCCTATATTTTGGTTAAGATATAAAAATTCCTAAAATTGTTACCAACTAAACATTATACCTCTTGGATTCTTGGATTCTTGGAATCAGAACAGGTTATAGCCCTGATTCTTGGTTATTACAGAGAAATTACCACAAATGTTTGCAGTTATTACATTAAAGAATCGAACATATCATAATCACATTGTTACCTTCAAAGAAAAGGGATATTATTAAACATTTGTAACTACCCATCTGTGTTTTGTGCCGAAGAAACTTCCAGTGAGGTTGAACTGGGGTCATGTCATTCAGTAATTTGTACCACAAGATGAATCCGCCTTTAAGGCAAGTCATTAAAATCACATTTTTATTTACAACCTAACGGCAAGGCTTCCTGAGGAAATATGGGAAAGGGCTAAAAAAGAATCAAAACAACAGCAGTGCACTTTGGAAACTATTTCGGCACTGGTAACACGCTGCCCCTGGGTAATGAAAGCTTCAGTTAAAATTGCAGATGATATTTACAAAAATAGCAGTAGTCATAGCAATGGAAGAAGTAACACAGTACATTGTGTTGTTGTCAAAAGTGCTTTGAGTGGTATTCCTCTGCAGCTTTGTTCCCAGCACAGAACAAAACTCAGCAGGGTCTTATGGGTAGACTTCTGCTGCAGGCAGGTGTTTCCAGATGTGCTGTCAGAGTTCTCCTGAAGAATAACAAAGAAACGGTGAAGGTTGCAGCAGACAACGAGACTCCTCGAGATGAACCAGAGCTGTTATCAGCCCAGAAACCAGTGAGCTCTAGAGTCTGTGCAGCCGCAGTCTGTGTGCAACAGCACAGACAAATAACAGAATCAAAAATCTGTGTCTTCATCGGGCATTTTAACTTTAAAGGACTGAGAGACACAACGATAATCATCTGCAAGCAGCAGTGAGGCAGAATGGAGCTTCCTGCACAGTTCAGGCTGCACTTCTGTGACTGTATTTTGGTGATTTGTGCAGAATTAGAGGTCTCCATTCTTAGAAAACTCTTATCCATCACACCACTGCAGTCAGGAAGACATCAGATTATTCTAAATTTGTTCTACAGCCGAACAACAGCAGCAGCATAAAGAATCCAAAAAATAAATAAAAAATAAAAATCACATTTTACTTTGTTGTTTCAGCTAAAAAACCACCAAACAAACAAACAAGTTTTTTTTAAACTGAAAGAATAAAGTTATATCACTTTTGAGCTACTGTAAGTAAAATATACTAAGATACTAACCGTGGTGTCGTTAAATGCATAATATATGGAGCCGTGTTTTGCCGGCATTAATGTAAATAATTGTAAATCAGAGTTTTGCCAGAGGCAGGAATCAAACTAGTCCTTTAGTGTGCAGAATTGATAGCCTATGGGTTTCTCACTCACCAAACGCAATAAACACAGATATAAAAATACATTTAGGCAATAAAAACATTTGCCAAAGCAAAATCATGAACGTAAACACACATTGCAAATTTGACTATATTGAAATGAAGTGGCCTGATTTGTTTCCTGCATGCTGTGATTTGCATTTAATTTTACTGTGCTGAATTCTTCTACCAGGACTTTGGTGGAAAGCACAAATAAACTGTACCATTATTGGAATGTCTTGGTGTTGTTGTAAAACTTAATCATAAGAAAAAGACGGAGGAAAAGACAACTGTGAGTTGGACGAGGTGCATTTTGATAAGCACGATTTTAATACATACATGTACATGTACAATACAAGGTTATGGACAATATCTGCAATGATTAAACAGTCATCATTCTGGTTCTCTCCGACTGTAAGTGGTAGAAGCATTGCCAATGTATGACTGTGTATTATAACTACCTAACAA